CTCAGCCTTCCAAGTAGCTGGAACTACAGGCGCACGCTACCACACCCAGTTAATTTTTTGATTTATTATAGAGATGAGGTCTCGCCAAGTTGCCCAAGCAGGTCTCGAACCCATGGGCTCAGGCAATCCACTCACCTCAGCCTCCCAAAGGCGTGGGATTATAGGTTGAGCCACCAAGCCCGGAGAAGTGATTTTTCATATTCACTCCCTGACTCTGCCCAGGGCCAGTGCGGCCATGCACTGCCCAGCAAGCCAGACTCCAGTGGCACTCTCTGTGGTCAGGGTGAAGTAGCCTTGACATTAGCACACGATCTGGAAAATCACGTGTAAGAATACGACCATAACATTGTTAGATATTAGGAGAGCACTGCTGTATACACTAGGCTCCATACTCCCAGTATTCCTATTTGCTTATAATGTTGCTTTCTTGTCTAGGAACCTCCTTCATGGGGTGACCAAACTGTCCCCTTCTCTGCCAGATGGAAGCCCCATAGGAATGGGGTCTTCTGTAGTCTGCGTCTCCCTGAGCACCAGTGCTGGCCACCTACACAGTAGGTGTGTGACTCAAACTTTCTCACAAAATGTAAAAAGAAAGGTTCTCATAATTAGAAAGAAAAGACAAAGCAGAGACGAACAGTGCAGTCTTAGCGTGCCGATCAGCTTTGCATTTTAAAACTCAGGAGAATCAGGAAGATAAGATCATCCAAATAAAAACAATAAAAATGATTCGGTGAAGGGTTGAAATACAGACAACTGAGGAAAAGCACAGGTCTCTGGATTGCTTCCTTTGGTGAAGAGGAGAGACTAGAGCAAATGCTATGAGCAGGTAACACTATTTCATGCCTGACCAGTGGGGGTGGTGACTCGAGGCCCTGAGTGACTACCAACCTTGGGAGCTTGGACTCTCCTGAGAAACCAGCCCAGCGGTGGAAGTCCTGGAGTGAGCTTCTGAAAGCCTGTGGGGCACCGGGCTTATGGCTGGGTTCACAGCAAAAGCATGGAGAAAATGTGAAATGGAAATGGCAGGCTGTCTCGGCACAGCAGATGCTGGGAACACGAGGAGCAAGTGCCAGGGGACCGTCCAACTCAGGCGAAATCCTGACGGTCTGGACTGGCCTGATTGTGGTCTCACCTGAAGTGCTGGCCCTGGGAGCGATGGGCTTGGGAGGCGCGCCTGCCGGGATATCACTGCCTGTGTCCACTACAGAAATTAATTGAGCCTTTACTTATCAGATGGTTTCCATTTGGTTATGATTGAATCTCAATGAATTCAGATTAGGTATGAGGAACATCTAAATTAGTGATGTTGCAGGCCAATTAAAAGCAAGCTTGTTATTTTCAAGTAGATACCAAACTTGGAAGGTTTTTAAAGTGGTTAATCATTTTAGATAAACTGATTTAATAAAGAGATAGGAATTATTTGTAATAGAGTAATAATTGTTTAGCGATTAATTTAATATATTTGATGGTATTTGAGAACAGTGTGTTCTTTTAAGTTATTTAAACTGTCTCTGAGATAGTGCTTACACCACTAATTTGTCTGGCGGATGCTTTTTTATGATTAATACAAATCTAAACTATATTCATCTCTCTTCTGTATAATCATAACTTTCAAAGTAACAGAGGCCAAACTGACCAGATTTTACTGTCCTAATGCAATTGACTGTTCCCTGCTATCTTAGAGATTATTTTTAATGGGAAATTTTCTTAGATTGGAAAGTCTGGCTTTAAAGAAAACAGTAAAACAAAACAAGTCACATTTCTTCTAAAATGCCTTGGTGATGTGATCCTGGTGTCCCCTGTGTCCCCAGGAACCCAAACTCTCTGATTTCGGCTCAAGGTCATTTTGTGTCAGGTCATAGGCCACCCAAAACTTGGTTTTCTGCTATTCTGGCAAATTTCTGGGTATTTTGAGATTGGGATATTTATTGTAATATTATGCCAGAAAACAAAATCAAATTGGAGCCTGTACGGATCTGAAATGTTTCAGCTTTTCTGAAAAGCGAAGTGTTTTTTTAACCATCCACAGCATGATTTCACTTCACTGCTCCTAGTTTCTGGGTGTCTATGGGGCTGGAGGCCGTTCCAGCATTCTCACTGACCCAAGCTCCACCCGTGCTTGCGAGGTTAAGTCCTGCGTTCCCAAAAGGAAAGGCCGCAGTCCTGCTCCAAGGGCTGGTGCACTTGGCTTCAGCAGGCCTAGATCTCTGCCTCTGCTTCTGTCCTCACCCGTGGGCTCCCCCGGCCTTTCCACCCAACTCCTGGCTCCGTGTCCCCGTCAGTCCGTCCTCAAGCCTCCTCTTAACGCTATCACACGGCTTCTCTTCGATGGGACTCTGGGAACTGCAAGACGTGTTTCTCCAAAGGGGACCCATGGACTTGCAGGGCTCAGTCAAGACAGAGCATGCATGCATGCATGCAAACATTAAGAAGTTCAGGGCGGTGACAACAGAGTACTGAACTAAGAAAGGGTCTCTTCGGAACACTGGGCCCATGTGACGGCCCCAAGGAAGCGGGAGTGACACACCTTTAAAGAACACATACATTGGGGACGATCGAACACCTGTTCATTCTCAGGTGAGAGACATGTGGGTAAACCAGTTGTACCCAAATCTCAGGTTATTTTATCCTGAGCGGATACCATAAGCTGGGCGGGCCATAAGAGGGCATTTCAGGAGGGTATTCTGTGTCCTGTGTGCTGGAGGGAGCAGCCTCAACACAGCATTCATAGCCTTGTTGGCTCACACCTCCCCCTCTGGAGCAGGTCAGCCCGGGAGACCAGGTGCAGTCTCGGGCATGGAGAGGAGGACATGCCTGGGTTGGCTGCACCAGGTGTCCTGGGCTGTGACAAGCAACCTGGGCTGGGAGCAACTTGACAGTGGGGAGCAGCGCAGGCCTGGTTTGGGTTTTCCAAGAGGCTGCAGTTGGCAGTGTGGATGAGGGATCAGAATCTGCTTAGTCATCTGGAGACCTGACTGGAGGAAGTGCAGAGCCACCAGCAAGACTTGGGAGGGTCGAGGCTGACATAGAGGCCTGTTCCCATGGATGTAGGAACAGGACAAGGTGACACACTTCCAGTCTGAGAGGTGTAGATCTTGCTCCTGCTCCCATTGTCTCTCTTCCAACTGGAGCTCATCTCATGCTGAGGTGTGTGTAAATTCAGATCTTCCAGGCCCCGGGAGGGCACATCCCAAGGCAAGAAATTGCCCTACACACTCAGGCAAAGCTCACAGGAAGCAGCCACCATGCACTCACTGCCATTCAGCTATGAAGGTTTAAATACATAGAAACGTGCCAGCACCTTCCTGGGAGTAACCAGAAGCTTCCAGCCAGTGTTCATCATTCCCTCCTCTGCATGTTGAGGAAATAAAAGGCCTGTGCTTCCCCATCATGCCTTCATTTGTTCTTATTTATTGTGAATGACTAATTCCCACAATTTTACTCTGAGCCTTCTCCAATTTCGCCTCACTCTTAAGAAAGGAGACAAAATATCAACTGGACTAAATATTGTAAAAAAAATCTCACTAAGAATCCAGCCGCACACAGTAGTTATGACCTTTTCATTTCTGTCTTTTAATTATGCCTTCTGCAACACACCTGCATCCTATCCAATTTTTTCTTTAAGAAAAGTAAGGACTAAATAAAGGCTCGTTTCATATTTTTGTCTACTCAGGTGCCCCAGTTTCTTTGAGTCACCCCGACACACCAGCATCCAGGAGATTCCACAGACACTCTCTTGAACACACATGCTCCTGGGCATGGCACTCCAGGCCTAGGTCCCTGTTCCCTGATACTCTTGTCTTCTGAAGACTTTGGGACAGAAATCACATGTGACTCTTGAAACTGACATTTTATTCATGTGGGCTTTCCTCAAGAAAGTGATTTAATGGACCATTTCTTTGTTAGACTTTCTAAAAAACACAATTTTCATCTAAAAGGTTAGTAATTATATTCATCTACAAATTAATTTTATATCCAATCGCCAAGCTTGGTAGTCAAAAATAAAATAGTGTCGATGCAGGTCCTGCTTCCAAGTATGGCCATGAGCAGCACCCTTGCTACTTCTGGAAACTCAAAGGCAGACTTCCAGCCCCGAGGCTGTGATCCTCAGGTGCAAAGTCATCTGACAACTTTCGAAAGCACCTCCCTCATGCGTGCCTCCACCCCAGCCTCCCAGCTCCATGCTCCTGCCCAGCCTGGAGGAGGAAGACCACAGAGCATCTGAGCCTGTGAATGTTACAGCCACCCTGAAGTGAGTCCATGGTGGGCGCAGAGCAAGGGATGGGGCTCCCAAGCCACCAGCGGTCCTAGGATCCAAGGATTTCACGTCCAAAGGGTAACACTTTGTTCCTGGTGCAGTTAAAATGTAGCAGACCATGCCTGTAAATTCAGCATTTGATCTGACAGCAGAAGTTCAAGAAGTTGACATATTTAGCAGGTAGAGTGCAGACATCTCCCATTGTCTTTGAAAGGTCTCACGGGCCACAGCATGCTCCTGGGCCACAGCAGGGTGGCTCTGGAGGAAAGGCGGGCACCCAGTCTCCAGGGCTCCCACTGTCCCGGCAGGAACATGCAACTCGGGCCTCATCACCCTTCGGAAAATGCCTGGAGCTGTGCTTAGCACAAGGAAGTGTCCTCTATGCCTCAGAAACTCACAGTAAATTTTGAAAAAAAAATAGAACAATGCTAACATTGTGTTTGAAAACTGCAGGGTGCCTTGAGGGTATCTATGTGTGGCACAGATAATAACTGTACCTGTACTTGCCCAGAGCCCTGAGAAAGAGATGCCATCACCGTGGACACGGAGGCTCCGCACTGTGGGTGAACTAACAGATCCATAGGAACATGCCTTGCTTGTTGGTGAGGCTGTTGGGGCTGCAGAGCTGCTGGGGATTCCAGGACAGGGACTGACTCAAAGGGAGGTCACACCCACCCCCCCATAGGGTGAGGAACAGGGAAGGCTGGGGCCCAGGGCTGACTCTGGCTCGGTCTCAGACGGGTCACCAGGATGCCTGTGCTGCTTCTTCATCACTCCCTCCTCCACCCCTCATGAGTGTGATGTCCCCAGAAGCACAGCAAAGCTTTGACCCAAACCGCCAGAGGAAGGGAAGGGCAGGAGTGGGACTCAACTTGCTGTAGGGCTCCCGCAGACCTTCGTAACTGGCCTGCTCCAATTTAACAGCCAGGAATTCACACAAGCAGCAGAAGCCCAGGCCAGCAAGGCCAGCCTGCTCCTCCAATTCACTCCCCTCCTGAGAACAAGCCAATTGGTTGAATTCAAGCATGAAAGATACAACCACCTGATCAGCACAAGTCAAAGGAAGTCACAGTCAAAGTAAGTCACAAACTCTAACCCACACAAATAACTTTCCTGGGCTTCACGCCCATGAGTTTTGGCACCAATTCCCGGGCCAATGTTCCTGCCCTGACAGGTGAGCTCAGAACTCAGGTTGCCCTCTGTCCTGGTATGGGCACATCTCCAATGGCCTCTGAACCTGCCTGCATCTCCTTTCTGTGGAAGCTGTGCTGACGGCCCCCTGCTGGCCTCTTGGGCCCACTTTGTGGTCCACATGTCTCAGTGACAAGGGCAACCAGTGCCTCCAGTTAGGGAGGAGAAGACTGCTGACCATCCTCTTTACCTTGCAAGAAGGATGCTACAGACCACGAGCTCAGTGCACATGTCAGAGGCTGAGTCACCCTCCCATGTGGATGACATGAGTCCTTGACATAAGCAAATCCTGTGATTGGTCAGGCAAAGCCCACCATACCACTGAACACAGAATAGCCAAAAGGGTGTTATGGGAGGAAAAGATGAGCTGCCTGGCATCCTCATTCACACACACGTAGCTGGCAGGAACCCACTAAGGCTCCATCTCTGTCTCCCTGGGGCCACAGAGGAAGCCCAGGGCAGAACAAAGAAGTCCACACCTGCACAAATAGTGCGCACCCTGGCTGCCATGGGAACATCCCAGAAGGGTGTCACCGATGACCAGCAGTGGGGGCATCGCGCAGACACAAGTCCTGGCAGATGTACAAAAGCCCAGGACACTGAGGGAGATGTGCTCAGAGTAGGGCACCCTCCAAGAACCCAAAATGGGACCATGCACCACTGCATGTGGCTCTGCAACCACACGAGAGGACATGGGAGGACATCATGGGCTGGGCAGACAGAGAGACAGAGGATCCATTATCTTAGAACACCAATGTGAGTGTGGTCAGAGATGCCAAGAAGAAACAAAGTGAAGGGGATTTGAACGAGGAAGAGGTATGGTCTAGTGCCTTCATTCAGTTTCTGCTGCACTAGGTTTGGGTTTCTCTTAAGACACGATGACACTCCACAAGGAACCTACAGAATGAAAGATGGGTCTCAAAGAGCCAAGGCAGTAGCCCAGTTCTCCAAATGGAACCCTTTGGGTGGGACCTTGCTCTCTTGTTCCCCATGGTGAAAAGTTGGCCTTCAAGGACTAAACCATCGTTTGCTGTCAGTTGGTGTGAGCTGGGTCAGCTGCCAATTGTCCTACACCGGTATGCATGAGTATCCACAGCCAACAACCACCCCCTCAAATGAGGGAATTGTGTGTGAGAATATGATCAGCTTGGCGTGGAAAATAAAGGAACCTAATTGACCAAAACAAGGTAAAGCAACTTAAAATAAAAACTACACCTGCTAAGGAAAAAGTGCATCGGCGTGTGTGTGGCTTGAGGTATCTGCCTACCCTGCTGTTGCTGCCTCTTGAGAGATAGATTTCTTCTCTACCAAGATCAGCCTCTATCCCAGGGTTATTTTAAAACCTATGCAGGTTTTTTCCCCCTAATAAGGCTAGTTATCTCCAAATAATCAAAATTAATCATGGACAGTGAACTCCCAAACATCTACAGTCACAGAGTCAGCTGATCTTTACACAGTTTGCATACAATGGCTTCAATGCCTGGGAATCTGGTTTTTGTTTGAGGTATGAGCTAGGGCACTATTGTCATTGTTGCAACAGCCTAACAGCCCCTTTCTTCATAGCAGAATGGAGCGCCGCTAACAAAGCTCCCACAGCCTCTCCTCACAACGCTGGGCTCATTCTCTCCCTCATTGGCAAGTCTGTCATTCAAAGACAACAGTGACATTGTGTCACATTTCTTAACATCAATGATGTTAGTCGGTCCCTCCAGAGAAATGATCATTTCAGTCTTTAAATCAAGCATCTCAGTCCAGTGTCCAATGTCTTGGCCTCCACCATGAGAAGATCTCTCTGCCCAATGCACTCGTGAGAAGTCATGGATGTCCCCCTTTGTCATGGTCCCTTTTACCAAAGAAGACCAAAGCTTGGCAGGACGTTAGTAAACTATATTCCTGTCATACGTGCGAGGACCACAGAGCTGCTTGGCTCATAAATCATGCAGCTTTGTGTTATCAAAATAAAAAGCAAGCATCTTAGACCCTTTAAGAAGTGGGTTAGGGCAAAGGATAGAGTGTCTAGAGTTTATGTGACACGATTAAGGCCAGCTCAAATCAGCAGACACCTGCTGAGGGCTTTCCATGCAACAAGCACATGCTAAGTTTGCTATGTCTTCTCAAGACACACACTACCTACCAATATTAAAATCTGACTTCAGAGGCAAGAGATTATGCCAGATACTGGGGGGAAGAGAATTCCTTTCTTATGGGGCCAACCTGCAGGGGGCAATTTAGCCACCAACTGAGCCCCTCACAAGGACAAGGAGTCAGGTAGACAGAAGGCTTCCCCCACCAAGAATCTGTGTGGGTGCTGACATCTGCACCACCAAGATCTCTCCCACACTCACCTCTGGGATGCTGAAGGAGGCTGATTCATTAAACAGAGAGTAAGCTGGTTGCTCACACAGAGGAACATGGCATGATAAAAATAGCATCACCAGCAGAGCCCTCACACTCGCCTCCCAAGGAAGAGACCCTGGGGGGACACAAGGCTGAGAAATGGCTAGAGACCTGCTAGAGCCACTCACAGGCTAACTCTGTGGCGCTGTGTGTGTGTGGGGAGGACATGCTTGCTCCCCTGGGATCTCATGCACCCTCTCTGCTTCTCTGCACCAAGTAGTTTTCATTCCAAATGTTGTTGAACAGATACAGAAGTGCAGGAATGAAGAATGCATGTGTCACAGATATCCTGGTCCTCTCTATCTTTGTTTACAAGCAGAAACACATCTTTACTTTCACATTTTAAAACCCTCTTCATCAGTGATAGTACAGATAATGCAGGAATTGCAAAAGTTCTCCAAAAAGGGATGTATCTAGACTTGGTATAAGACCAAGCTCAAATTTGCATGTCAAACAAAGGACGCTCAAGAACGATTTTCATGATCTCTGAGACTTTGGTTTGACTTACACATCTGGAGAACTTTAAAGAGAAAAATAGGAACAGAATGAAATGAAACAACGAGTAGCTTTGAGCTCATTGTCGACATCACATCCAGCCCTCAGAGTTGGAATCCTGGCTCTGAGTTGGGCAGGTGAGCCCCACAGCCAGATCTGTGGGTGCTCCTGGGCTAGGAGGCCGTTTTCAACCTCACATAAATTCCCACAGGGACAGTGGCCCCAGGACAGGCTCAGGTTTACCTGTTGAAGCAACGATTTTTGGCGTGTCACAAACACTTAGGTGTTTCTGATGAAAGAGAACGTTCATGGAACATCTTTCTGTGAATGCTCTTATTCATTATAAATGTAAGCTTACCACCTGCTTAATTTTCAATATTTCTTTGCAATTAAATTTACCTGATACATAGATTGAACTCTTGTTTTAGTAAAACCTAAGCTTCGGTTTCTTGAGCTGTTGATGCAATGCAGAATGAGTGTCAGAAAATGGCATGTGAATCATGGCTTTCTTCTGGGTAGGAGCGGTACCTCTTGGTCATGCAGTTCAGAAACATCTGGAGGCTCTGCAGTGGTCGCATTCTGGTTTTAGTGTGACACTGCACATTTGAGCTCACACTCAGTGGCTCTTCCGACTTTGCAGCCCAGAGTGACGGCAGCCTGGGAACATTCTGTGCTTTCCCTGTGGGCTCCTGTGAGTCTGCTTTGACTCCAGGTTCCTTGGGGGAATTAGGAGGCTCAAGGGCCAGCCAAGCCCCGGGACACATAATTGGATGCTTTTCTATTCCATTGTGGCTATGCAAGTGGTGGCAGGAGGGTCCTGTCCTCTGGCTACTCACCATGCAACTGGCGACCCTTGTAGAGGTCCCGCGCCTTGGTCGGGTGGGCCCTGGCCGTGCTGTCACACTTGGGCTGTTCATACCTGTGAGAAGTGCATGGGGGAGGAAAGAGAAAACAGCTGGTTTGAGACCCCAAGGTGGACATTTTTTTCCACTTCTCGAGTGTCTTATAAACTCCACACGTCCCTGACCCCAGCACACACCATAGCACGCAGTTCCAAAGTAACAGCACCATGACCCAACACTGCTTTGGTACCTTTGTGAACATCTACATTGTAAGCCTATTTCCCTGTCAGCAGGCAGAAGCACTCAGCACTTTCCAGTACGGGCAGGGCTGTCTCTCAGTCCAGCCCTGAAGGAGTCTCATATGACCTGTACCCCACTCAGCAAACAAGTTTATGAAACGCAAGCATTCCTTCCATCGCATCCTTGATACAGTCAGAGCAGGGGTGGGAAGAGAGTCAGAAATGTGCATAGAAATGAGGGCAGAATTGGCAAATCGCCACACCGAGGAGAGGACCCCAGTTTTGGGAAGAACCTCAGGATCTCAGGTTGACCTGTCATCTGAACACTAACCCACCTCAATCTAAGACCTGAAGCTGCTCGTGTCTGCCTCAGTGTTAAAACATCCTCACTTTCCCGTCCCTCCTAGCATTGTCAGAACACTGCAGAAAAGTCCTGACTGGGGTGGGGCTGACATCCAAACCCTGCCCGGGGGCCTGTGGCCCAGGGCTGCATGGGAGACAGCAGGAACAGGGTGACTCTCTCCCTGGGCATCAGACCACATCCCATGAGCAGTTGTGGACACAGCTAGCCGTGTGTTCCTATGGTCGCTCTCAAGTGAGGCCTCCCTTGCTCTGGGACTGAACTGGGGGTAGGTGCAGAGGTGACAACCCACGGAGGCAGAGACAGCTCCAACAGGTGTCCTCCTGGACCCCCAACCCAACAAGGGTCCCTCCCACGCCCTGGCTGCTGTGGCTCCTACTGCAAAGTCAAGCTTCTCACATGTTCATGCCAGACAGGGCCACTCATGGAGGTGTCGGGTCCTGGGATGGCGTTTCCACAGTCCTCTCTGCAGAACCGCAATGACTGCAGTGGGACACATGTCACTGCCTCCTCCTCAGAGGACCTCCTCTCACCTTCCTGGCCTCTCACACCCAAATTATCCACACAGGAGTGTCCTTCCCATGAGTGTTGGAAATGTTAACACCTTTGGATGGCATCTTCTAGGGGCCCCAGGGACCTTTGCACGTGGGAGGTGAGGGTGGGAGAAGCATGGTGCCAGCCACAGAGCACATATGACACTCTGGACAAGCTCATGTGGGGTTGTGGAAAGACTTCCCGGAAAGTGACAGTGACCGCTGGGGGTGGGGCAAGGGGAAGTGCAAGGAAACTTCCTGGCCCAGGTCTGAGGGTTCCAGGAAGAGACTGAGTTCTGCTCCTCATCCGCACATCTCTGTCCCCATCCTCATTCTCCAGGAAAGGGTGCGAGATCACACTCGCCCTCATGCAGAGGACTCTACATTCCCATTGTCATTAGTCCTTGTTTTCCAACCATAGAAAATAAGAGAAAGTGAAAGCTGCTTCCAAGAAACACTCCTTGAGTCCCTGCTGGAGCCCCAAGAGGCCAGCGGTTCCAGAGTCGGGCCGGCCCAGCTGTGAAGGAGCAGGAACCACAGCCCCCACGCCCCTCAGCCCTGAATAGCCTCTTTGACACCAGAAAACCTAACGTCCAGCCACACACACTTCATGTCTTTCAGAAATGTTGGTTTTGAAATTAGAGTCTCTGACACACACCGGCTCACAGCTGAGCCGACAGCTCTAGCCCAAAGTCACTAATGCACATGTTTTGGAAATGGGGGTGGACCCAGTCCCAGGTGGTCACAGGAACATGAACACACGGTGCAGGGACCCGTCACCCAGCAGGTGCTAGCTCCACAGGTCCTGAGACTCCTCTGGCTGCGGCGGGCAGGTGGTGAGTCAGCATTCCTCCGAGGTACACCGTAACTGAAGCCAGCTTTCCAAAGGATTACTACTCTTATTTTTACTTCTGTGGGCTAGCTAACTTGGGAGAGCTCGGATGCTCTCTGGGTTGCAGGGTCTTCGTATCAGGCTATAGGTCAGTGTCCGTGAGTCTGAATCAATACTTGTGTTAGAACGGACACAGTCACCCCCAGGGGTTAGGGTATGTGAGCTGCAGAAAGACAAGCACTGTCCTGCTCTTAGCTGATCAGGTGGACCAAATGACGGGTGCCACCAGGGCATCTTGTTTCTAGAATATCAGAGCTACCTCTGGGCAGTCGAGACTGTTCACATGCACCTGGGGTTGTGTCTCTGTAACGCTCCAGGATCCAGCACCAATGGGTGGCGAGAGATGGGACCCAGCACATGGGTGGCGAGAGATTATGCCATTTCTTTCCGCACTCTGAATTGCTGACTTTGAAGCCACCCAGACACCAGCCTCGCCAAAAGGGCATCCTGGTTTTGCTGCAAACATGGCAGGAGCTGTATTAAGAATCTTGTCGCTGATGCAAATATAAAAGTGCATATTGAAGTGACCACAATGGATTCTTTCAAAGAGTGGTGTGCAATGCCAGCAACTCACAGACATGCAGTCTCAAGACACAGAGTCCCGGCCTTTGACGTCTCAAATTTTTAAAAATGCATGAACATGGCCTTGGTATCCACTGTCATTCTTTTCAATAGTGTGTATTTTAACTTGTTTATACAAGAAAAAATGAACATCTTCCCCATGGGGTTGTCCATCTGACCCCAGGCTCCCTACAGAAAGGGGTATGACCCCATGACCCACGTGGCCACATGTACACGTCATGGAGAGAGAGATGCCCATGAGCTCAGAAACAGGCTGTCCTGACTTGAGGCAGACATGCCCACAGGTGGACACCAGGTGTGCACACCCCGCTTTGTGTTCTGGGCACTACGTGGTGCTGGCGGCCAGCCTGACCCCGCCCCACCTGACAGCACACCTCCACTCGCCCTCGTTAGTGGCCAAGTTGAAACTCTGTGCTTCCATGGGGCACCCAGCCACGCACGAGCGTGCTCATGACATGCACCTGGATTAGGTCCTTCAGGGACGTGCAGACCACAGCTGAGACATTGATTTGACACAAAAAGGCAGGAGAAGGGGGAGGTCATTCCAGCCAGAAGCCTGCCCTGGGGGACTGCCCTGCCCCAGGGGTCACAACTGTGAGTCTGGTCCTCAGTGCCAGTCCATGACAGAACTCACGCATCTCAGTCCTCTTGCATGGTGACAGAGAGGCAGAGAGCTAGCTGAGATAGGACCGGGCACTCTGTACTCACAGCTTCTTACCGCTGTTGGATTTTTTAAGTTTTCTTCACTACCAGGAAATGTAGAGGACAGTGGAGGAAAGCAACTCTGCCGAGGCCAACCCAAGTGTAAGTCAAAGCTGTCAGTATCTGCCTGGAGCTACTTATTCCAGAATGCTAACAGGAAAGTCATGTTCATGCAACCGAGGGTGTTTAAATAGTCGTGTAGGCCTTCCCTGGAGGCTGTAACTCAACACAGCAGAACCAGGAGAAGGCCAAGGGGCTGACTTGTATCCTGCCAGGCATGGCTTCACAGGGGTTATTGTGACTGATTTCCCAGAAACCAAAAATGCTCCTAGAAGATCCATGTAAATGAGTTTAAACCAATTCCACTTTTCTTGCTATTGATGGGTTTAGCATGAGTATAGGATCTAATTCTGGCCAATGATCCTTGAATTAAATCTGCTAGGGTATTTCTAGGACGGTTTTTTTTTTTTTTTTTTTGCTCCTGAGGAAGAAAATGATGGATTCCCGTGTCTTCTGAGGCCTGTGGTGTCCGGATGAGATGTCCAGATCTGTTGCAGTCATCTTGTGATGAAGAACAGTCACCTTGTGCCTGAGGGCTGTGACAGCAGGAGGATGTCAGATCAGATCTGGGAGACACTGTGTCCTTGGCCACATGATCCAGCGATGGGGTCACTCGATGCAGAATTTGCTCGCCAATGCAATCTTACAGTGAGCCTCTGTGTGTTTACATCTGCTCAACAGCCTTCTGGCCTCACAACTTGAAACGCAGGCCTTCCTAACTGGTTTACTCACCTCTCCCCCAAAGCCACACTGGGCTCCAGGTTGGGCCCACCCTTGAGCTGGACACATTCCCTACCTGGTTGCGCCTCCCCCTGCCATTTCCTTCCTCTTACTCCTGACACCTTGAGTCTTGACTCCAATGTCAGCTTTCAAGAAGTTACCCCTGGCTGTCCCATCCAAGTTGTGCCCCACCCACAGTCCCTGGCTCTGATTCATGGTGGGTTTCCCCCAGAGATTTTGTCAGGACACAACATATTGACTCACATCCAGCTAGTCCACAGATGCATTTTGCTTATGACCTGTGTTTTTCCCTAGGACAGAAGCTCTGTGGATGCATGAGTGTGTCCCCAGTCACCAAGACTGTGCCTGGAACACTGAGGGCATTCACATGTGTGTTGCATAAAAAGTTAATGAATGGATGGATGGATTGATACGAAGCAGGTGTTTTCAGAATTGTCAGAGATCAAATCACTTCTCTGCTACCCCTCCAGCAACTCCCTGTCCTGACAAGGGGTTCTGTTCTCTGGCTGCACCCCCACCCCCCGTGACACAACAAGCTTGTCCCCCCCAAGGATCCACATGCCCTGTCCTGCCTGGATTAAGCTTTCCCCCACTCCACACGGCCACTGCTGGCTCCAGTATCTAGACCTCAGAGAGGAGTTTGCAGTACCCAAACTACCACCTGGCCTGACCCCAGCATCTTGCTGCTGTCTCTAACCCCATGTCTGCCATCTGCTGAACCAATTGCATGAGTGACTGGCCACTCCTTTTCCTCTTTTCTAACAAAACCAAGAACATGGTAGGCATAGACCCTGCTCTGTGTGGCCATGGGTGCTGAGGGCGTGACCTCACTCAGCCTCAGGTACTAAATAAAAGGCCTTGTCTTGGCCTGTACCCCTCCTCACCAGCCTGAGGCAGGCCTGGGTCTGGGCACGATGACACATCTCAGCCATCTGATGAGATGCAAACACTGTGGGAGCTGGGTGTTTCCCTGCATCAAAAAGAGAAATAGCCTTTCTTCCTCCAGAATATGTTGTCATGGCTACATAGAGGCCATGACATCACCAAGTACAACACAAGTCATCAGTGGAGGACAGTAGAGCAGACAGAAAAAAACTGGCACATTGCAATGATGACCATCTGCACCCCTGTCACCTCGGAGTCGAGTAGGTGATTCAGTAGGAGAAGGGTGAGTCTGGGCATTCTGTCCTCTGCTGGAGACACAGACAGCCATTCACAGGGTACATCACTTGTGCTCCAAGCAGCCTGGAGATGCGGGAGACCAGACCACAACCACCTTGGTCACCGAGTCTCCTCATCCTGGGAACAGTGCTTGGAGGCTGCTGACAGTCAATATTGGTGCTGGATGAGTGAGTGAAACAATGACAGAGATGCAGACACACAGGAGTCTGTTGGCTTTAATTCCATACCATCCTTGAGACACCCAGGAGGGAACTGCTCCCTCCTGCAGGCACAAGAGGGAAACCGGAACTCGAGGCTTTTCTTTCTGGCATTAAAGCAGGTGAAGTCCTGGCAGAGGAAGACAGGATCAACGGGAGGGAAGAGAGGGTTGTTTTCATCAGGAAAACACGTGCAGGACCTTGTGGGGTCAACTTGTCCATGCTGGTCTCACCACTCAGAGCCCATCTTAGGGACTCTGGTCTTCACAGTCTGAAGAGTTTCCTTGGCTGGTGGGGGGGCCAGTGTCTGCCAATGACCTTCACCTCTGCTGAGGGATGCAAGTCCAAGTTGGGGCTGCTGCTGGTACAAGCTCAAGTTGGGGAGCAAATGCCCTACCTTAAATACCCGGCAAAGAGCCAGAGCCCCAGGATGTACAGAAAAATTGCTTCTAAGAAAGAGTTCCTGGACAGCAGTGCTCCCTACACACATATGCAAAGAAACCCGAAAGGTAAAAACTTTCCTACTACAATCCTGGCAAGGTTTATGTTCCCCTCAAGTTGGGCAGAGTGCATGTGTTTGAACTGACCCTCACATCCGCCCCAGGAAGCCCGCTCTCAGCTGCCAGCCTTGTGACCCGGGTGGAGTCTTCCTGGGTTGCATCCTCTGCTGGGCGACTGGGTGGAGAGTGTGGTCAGAGGGGCATGACCATCACCGTGTCATTCCTGCTTCCCACAGGCTGGAAAGTGCATGGGGGGACCTGACCTTGGTGTCAATGGCTCCTCAGGTCAATACCTTGAATTGACACCGATGTGGACACACAGAACTTACACTAGAAAGAATTGAGGACGTCACCGGTGAGGGGGTGTCAAATGCTCATGCCTAGACACGGAGATGGAATCAGGGGCTAAACTTGATAACACTTGAGAGGTGATATTTTTATATACCTGTCAACTACTTTTATCTAAATCTAGGAAAAACCACAGGTAAGTTCAGGTAAGAAAGAGCTGTGAGATACCCAGTCACATTCATGCTGCTTCCATGAGCACACAGCTCTGGTCTCTGTGCACGGTCGTGGGATGGTCAGTGTTGCTCGTGTGCACACAGAACACAGGTGAACAAGGTGGTTCTGCATTCCAACCTTTAGGGGGCTCCTGCTGTCCTTGACTCAGGCAAGGTCTCACTGTCGCTAATGACAGTTTCAGAGCACACGTGTTTGTACATGATAGCCAGCCTCAGGTGATGGGTGCTTTCAGCTTGGTGGATGTTTCCCTCCCTTTGTCAAAACCAGCAACAAGATGCTGCCATTGGAGCTTGGTGCCCTCCAAGTGCCCACATGGTATGAGGCCCATCCTGGCACAGGAACCCCTCCAAGACAGGCCTCCACCTTGGGCGTGGCTCCACTCTAGTATGAGCCCCCTCTGGCATGCCCCTCCAACACGGTTCCCCCTCTGGCATGGCCACCCTCGGTATGGTCCCCCTTTGGCATGGCCCCCCCATTGGCATGGCCCCCTCTGGCATGGGCTCCCTCTGGCATGGGTTCCCCAGTATGGACTCCCCCAGGCATGGGCTCCCCTCCAGCGTGGTTCCCCTCTGGCATTGGCTCTCCCCGGGATAGCCCCCTTCTGGCATGGGCTCCCTCTTTCATGGGTTCCTCTCTGGCATGGGCTACCCTGCCAGCATGGTCTCCCCTTCATCATGGGTCCCCCTTTGACATGGCCCCCCTCTGGCATGGCCTTCCCTCTGGCAAGGGCCCACCCTGGCACGGGGCCCAGTGCCACCTTCAGAGTCCCATCCTGTACAAGAGATGACCAGGAGTGAAGGCCACCCAGAAAGGCCAGTCCTACTGCTCTCCTGCTTGGAGGTGGGGTGACCCTCAGAGCCCACGCAGGGGACCTGAGAATGTGGTGACACTGGGACAACTGCCAACCAGAGGCCCAGCCCGCCCAGGTCTAGGTAGCCCTGTCCTGTGGCTGTTGGAGGCTCTGTGTGGGGGCATCTCTCTCCTGCATCCCTGCTCCACAACCTCCCACACCTCCCGAGGTGGTGGCACATTACCTCGTCGAAGTGCCAGGAATGGGTCGCCCTGTGTCCACCAGGACACACCAGCAGTACCCTGTGGAAGGGTGGCACTGCACTGGCTTGTAGAGGCCGCCGTGAGCGCACTCGGGGATCACCACATTGTCGTTCTTGGGTTGCTTGGCCTCCTCTAGGGCGGACTGGTGCTCCTGGTCACAGGATGACACTGGGGGGGACAGGGAGCAAGTGGTAGGTCAGCGGGGTCAGGGATGCCATTTCACATGCAGAGCTCATGGATGGTACCATGGAAAGGCACAGGGAGCTGGACACAGGAAAGGTGCTGGTCCCCAGGGAGGAACACGGGAGGGACAGGGGGAGTGGAGTTGGGCAGCGCTGCACCTCTTGGTGGGTCCAGCATGTCCATGTGACCACTCAGTTCTCACAGTTCTCTGCAGGATGGTGGACACTCTTTCCTTAACATATGGCATGGTTCACAGTCCTGCATGGGCAGTGACCTGGAGGTGATCCTCAGGAGAACTGGACACCCACAGAACTCCCTGATGCCACAAGTCAGAGCCAAGCCTGAGGCTGAAAGTCTCCTCTGCCCGTGAGCCGAGGGCATGAGGCTTGGGGAGAGCCTCGGTGTACCCAGGGCAGGTCTTGGATGGTCCCTGGGCAGCTCCTCTGCCCCCTTCTCAACATGCTACTCAGCATTGTCCACCCCCAGGAGGGGAAACATCCCCTTTCCCACCTCCCTCTCCCCAAGGTCTGACTTAGGATATCCACGCAGAGCAGGTACTTGGTGTCCAAAAGCTTATCAGCCCTGAGTGGAAATTTCCACGGCAGTATTTCTAGAGCTGGCTTTGCTACTGGAACTTAGTAAAGAATAATAGTACTACACTTACTAACAGTAAGTATCCGCACTGAGTGCCTGCCAGCTGTTGGCTCCATAGTGCTGATTAAATGCAAATAAAACAATGACTATAACAATTCCAGTACCTTGTATTGCAATGTACAGAGGCTTATCTCTTTTCACTTTAATACATTCAGTTTCTCCTTCCCAAATAGTTAAACCAGGAATACCTGTGTGTGTGTGTGTGTGTGTGTGTGTGTGTGTGTGTGTGTGTGTGTGTTGACAGACAAGCTCCACTCCCCAGGGGGAATAAAGTCACAGGCACCCAGGAAATAGAGGCCACCCTGAGCCCCATGTGACTATAGCAGGACTGCCCAGGCAGTGGCCAGGGACAGCCTCTAATCCAGCTGAAGGACACACACACGCAGTGGAACTTCCAAATAAGAAGTGGGACTTTCCACCAAGTGTGTGTTAAGCCTGCTCTGAGGCAGACAGACTTCAGCTGATCCCTCAAGGTGCCATCAGAAGGTGGGACCGTCAGGAAACTGACAAGGGTGCCTCTGCTTCAACACTGCCAGGGGACCCATGTGGGGACCACAGCACCAGCACAGGGACCGTCCTGAGATTAGAAGAGTATGAATGTAGAACAGTGTTCCACAGATGCCAGCTGTTACTCTCGCTGTTTCTCCAATGGCAACAGGACACCCGGGTTGGGGAGGCACTCGATAAACTTCTTTTGAGATCACACATCATCATGGCATTAATGTTGGAAAGTCACCTAGATGCTACCTTCTCTGGCAATTCTAATTGCAATAGGGGGTGACCACAGATGGGACTTCATGATTAATCCATCACTGATTGCATTCGCTTTTCCTAAAGCAGTAATTCTAGTGTGTTCACTGGAAGAATGTAAGAACAGATGCTCCCTTTGGGATTTCCCCTGATATTCCTGTTTCTCTTCCATGGGGGACCCCCAGGCTGTCCTCAGCCACTGGAGAAAGTGAACGATAAGATTAAGACTAATCATCCATCCATTCACATCAGATTCTGGAGGATGATCTCAGAGGATATGGGTCATCCGAATCTCACAGAAGGTGCTCAGCATGGGTTTAAGGAACAAGAGAGAAGGCAGAAATGTCATTGATTGGCATTTCATATTGATGGGGTCTTAGAAGTTCTGCACGGTTTTTGCATGCTCTAGGTTTTGCTCAGCAAATGCATAGATGTGTAAAGAGAAAGCCCACTTCCATGCTGTGTGGTTAGATTGAAGAAGTGTTTGCCCCAACGATAACTAGAAAACCAGAACAAAAGAAAAATAATGCTTCATATTTATTTTTAATTGCTCAATTAGTTATTTTAGATCATGTGAAGAGACTAAAAGAGGCAGAGGTTGAGCTAAACGTGTTGGGCAGTGGCTGCTTTGCAGAGGTAGCTGAAGCAGTTGGACCATCTCTAAAAGGACTTGCACACCGAGAGCCCCAGTGAGGATGGGGGACCTGCCTTCCTGCCAGAGCCCGGAGAACTTCTCGTTTACTGCCCTGGTCACATGGCATGCTTCAGAAATTTTATGAGTGCGCAGAATTTATGGTGTGATGATCTGGCCACAAAATGCTTTTTGTGCTCTATCCAAGGACATACTGTATCTATAGAAATAGTTCTGGAAAACTACTAAAATGTCCCTCTTGAGAATTTCATGTCATATTTGAAGGCTTATCATAAGCAAACTAGGACTGATTAAATAAATAGCATCTTAAAATTTGCTGAGCATGTCATAAAATATCGAAGACATTATAGCAGAGTCAGAGACAGCCCATGCTTGTGTGAACATCTTGGCTGGTTGAAGGCTGTTCACCCACACCGTCATATCAGAGAAACGCTGCTCTGTGCAAGAAATCCCAGCATACTGGAGAAACGCAATCCCATTTTCCTCTAGTGAGGACCATAATGAAAGCAGAGGATCTCTGAACAAGCAAGCGATGCCCCTTGAGATGACCAGGCTGTGAAACACAGTTGACAACTGTGAAGTCCCCCTGCCCTCGTGGCCCACCCAGGCTCTGGCCCTCTGATCTGCTCCAAGTCACACATGGGCCACAGTCCAGATCAGCACCGACAAGGGCTGACCACGCTTGCTTCTCTCTGACCTGAGACAAGCCCTTATCCAGAGAGAACTTTAACTACCCTGGACCCATGAAACAAGTCCCAACTCACCATAGTCCTGAGGTTTCCATTATGGGAGGCAACAGGAATGCCACTTAAGAAGGGAACCGAGAAGATAGAGCTCACAGGGGCTTAGAAAACAGTGCTGAGTCCACATAAAGCACCGACAGGCACAAGATGAAGGAGCTAGTTAGTGAAACCAAGGACCGAGAGACAGAAGGGTGATGGGAGAACTGGTCAGGGCTCTGGGGAAGGCAACAGGTAACCAGGTGAGGGCCAAGTGAATGCAGGATGCAGAGGCAGAAACATCTGGACCGCTTGGGTCTGATGTTTATGGCTCAGGTGCTTGGCCTCCAGGCCAAGCTGCCATCTTGAATCAAAGGTGGCATTTTAGAATAGCCATATTATTATGTTACATTTGATTCTAGATGGAGTAGTTTAAACTTTCCAAAGAATGATCCTCACTGGGGAAAAATTGTCAGGAATTCTGGAAATAATTCAACAACCACAACAAAATAGTAAAAATTAATGCTGATAAAATCCATATTATAGCCGGGCTTGGTGGCTCAGCCTGTAATCCTGCGCTTTAGGAGGCTGAGGTGAGTGGATTGCCTGAGCCCGCGGGTTCGAGACCCACCTGGGCAACTTGGCAAGACCTCATCTCTACAATAAATCAAAAAATTAGCCAGGTGTGATAGCGCGCACCTGTAGTTCCAGCTACTTGGAAGGCTGAGGCAGAAGGATCACCGGAGCCCAGCAGGTCGAGGCTGCGGTGGCCAGGAGCGGCCACTGCACTCCAGTCTGGGCGACAGAGTGAGATTCCAAGTAAAAAAAAAAAAAAATTCATATTGTAGTATTCCATTTTAATATATTAAATTAAAACATTCAGGTTTTTTCCTATTCAAAAGTTTTATCTATATAATTTTCTCTTATAATAAATCTTACCCGGGCTCAGTGGCTCAGCCTGTAATCCCACGCCTTTGGGAGGCTGAGGTTAGTGGATTGCCTGAGCCCATGGGTTCGAGACCCACTTGGGCCAATTGGCGAGACCTCATCTCTACAATAAATCAAAAATTAGCCAGTTGTGGTAGCGTGCGCCTGTAGTTCCAGCTACTTGGAAGGTTGAGGCGGAAGGATCACCGGAGCCCAGCAGGTCGAGGCTGCGGTGGCCGGGGGCGGCCACTGTACTCCAGTCTGGGTGACAGAGGGAAACTCCAACTCAAAAATAAATAAATAAATAAATCTTAAGGAGTCAATGTATAAAGAAAAAATAATTTGAAAGTAAAAATATGAATAGAAGGAATTTTAATATGAGGACATCCATGTAGCCCAAGGGTGATGAGACGTGTCAGAAGAAGCTGGGAAATTTGTCCAGGAAAAACTTCCCAGTGAGGATCATCCATTGGAGAAACATGCCAGGACCAAAAAGGAGAATTTGGGACGTTATTTAGAATTGATGATGGCATTGATTAAAGAATTTTTTGCTAATAAAAGAGGCCTTTGTATACTTAGAGGTGAAAGAACAAACAAAGCCTTTGGAATAAATAACATCCCTGTTCCTGGATGACTAGGAAGTGAATAGGAAACATGTAGTGCAGTTATCAAAGTGGGATTGGTTTTTCTGAGCCAAGACTTTGTCACAGGGGAAGACATGTTGACTTCTGGACTGACAGTCAGAAGCCCTGGGCTGTTCTCTCAGTGCTGGAATCACTAGTCTGATGAAATTTAGCAGAAAACTAACCTCAGAGATTCAATATCTCATCATTTCCTGTCCTGCTTTCCTCACCAAATGATGGTGTAGATTAGATGCAATACTATCTACAAAGTCATGGGACTCTAGACACTTACTTAAAGAAGCATTATTATTATGAGCAAAGGTTTGCATGCTCATGAGATAGTCATAAAGAGTAAAAAGTTACGTAATGAAAAACAAGAGTTATAACCCAAAGAAATCTTTATATATACCCTATATCATACATGAGATTTTTAAAAACCACATATGCAACATCTGAAAGAGGCAATGCTAGATGTTTCTATAATCTATGGATTCATAAACACCTATGCTTGTAGTGCATTGTCCTAACCGCTGGGTCCACTGAGGACAGACATGCAACAAAGCTTCAAGTGACTGATGAGAATTGAAATGATGACTGATGAGATAGAAGTTCTGCATTTTTTTGATCTGGTTATATAGCTACCTACTCACTTTTCAATCA